CATACCGGAACGGTATCTGGTGCTCCGGGCAGGCTCGGTACGCCCGTTCCGGTATGGTGCTCCGGAGGGCCCGCCCGCCTGAGCTCCTTACCGATCTTTTAAGTCTCTGGTGCTTCCGCGAACCTGCCCGTACCAGGGCGTACCGCCTGCAACCCACCACTCATAGAGGGGCACCATGGCTCAGCGGTGAAAGATGTTGAGTTTGTCAACTGTTAAACTGATAACCCAGGTTGGAGACCTAGTCAGTCTCTTCCACCATGGCGCAGGGCTGCTTTCGCCTTTCCCAGGCTCCGGTGGTTTTCTTTGAGCCTCTGGGAGGGCAAAAACTGCCTCCCTCAAGCTCCAGAGGCTCTCCAGATGCCCATTTCTGGCCTTCTGGAACTTCCGGGAGGCTCATTTCCCCCCCTCCCCAAGTCTCCGCATGGGCCCTGTACTTACCTCGCATCCAAAATAGGGCGCGGAGACTCCTGGGAGGAGCAGGGTGGGAGGGGCCAGCCATGGGTGGGGTTTCGAGGTCCTCTGAACCGGCCATAACATTAGCTAGGGGTTCTCCCGAGCCCAGGCAAACCCGTAGTAGTCCACCCCTGGTTACAATTCTGAATAATCCAGTTAAATTTCTAATTGTAACCCCTCTGTATTTATTTACCAGTCCCCAGCTACCATGGATTCTACCCTGAATTAAAATTAACTTTAAAAGTTCACATTTTGAATACATCAGTGTTGATTTCCTGTGCTTCCTTTCTGTTGAATCAGAAAATATGATTCCTGCGCACTTAAAGTGTGAACTTTCGGCAAGTTACGAAGATGCCACTAAAAAATGACTGTGCTGCATTTTTCCAGAATGCTAACATTTTCGTTCCTCTGGGGGAAAGAGATGGGCTTAGGAGATTTTGAAACATTCCCCAGATGGAAATTGCCTTATAAATCAGCCTTTTTCTAGAGGAATTGGGATGTACAGTTTACATTCTCAGTGGGAGAGCTCAGATAGGAACAGAAGGTCTTGGGTGGTCTTGTGATAAGGTTACCACAAGGGCTACATTAGCAAGACAAAGACATGGAAAAAACAATCAAGCAGACTTGTGATCTTTGGTGGCCCTAGGATTTGATTTCCCAACAGGGTGTTGTTGTTGTTTGTTGTTTAACATGACACTTAACCTGCCTCAACACTCATTCTACCTACCCACCTGCCTGCCTGCCTGGATGGATGGAAACTAATCAAGGAAAGATCCAACCTAGAACTAAGGAGAAATTTCCTGAGAGAACAATTAATCAGGGGAATGAATTGTCCCCAGGAGTTGTGGATGCTTCAACACTGGAGATTTTTAAGAAGAGTCTGGACAGGCATTTGTCTGAAATGGTGTAGGGTTTCCTGCCTGAGCAGAAGGTTCAATTAGAAGACCTCCAAGATCCCTTCCAACTCTTATTCTGTTACCTATCTACTTAATTATCTCCCTGTCTGCCTGGTTGTCTTCCTTCCTTCCTTCCTTCCTTCCTTCCTTCCTTCCTTCCTTCCTTCNATCTATCTATCTATCTATCTATCTTTGTTGCTCTTCTCTGCACCATTTCTAGCGTCTCCACATCTTTTTTACATCGTGGCGACCAAAACTGAATGCAAATATTCCAAGTGTGGCCTTGCCAAGGCCTTATAAAGTGACATTAACACTTCATGTGACCTTGATTCTATCCCTCTGTTTATGCAGCCTAGAACTGTGTTGGCTTTTTTGGCAGCTGCTGCACACGGCTGGCTCCTATTTCAATGGTTGTCCACTAGGACTCCAGGATCCCTCTCACTGTTACTACTAGGTACCACCTATACTACACCTGTGCATTTCATTTCGACTCAAAAATGAAGGTAGGACAAGGGCCAGTTTTGAGGGAGGCTTTGGAAGATGAAGTAATTCAATCAGTATCTTAAAGGTAAAGGTTCCCCTCGTACATATGTGCTCATTGTTCATGACTCTAGGGGGAGGTGCTCATCTCTGTTTCAAAGTCGAAGAGCCAGTGCTGTCCGAAGACGTCTCCGTGGTCATGTGGCCGGCATGACTAAACACCGAAGGCACACGGAACGCTGTTACCTTCCCACCAAAGTTAGTCCCTATTTTTCTACTTGCATTTTTTACGTGCTTCTGAAATGCTAGGTTGGCAAAAGCTGGGACAAGTAACAGGAGCTCACTCCGTTATGCGGAGCTAGGAATTCGAACCACTGAACTGCCGACCTTTCTGATTGACAAGCTCAGCATCTTAGACACTGTCCCTTGAAATAAGTGTCTTAAGCTCCTGCCATTCTCAAGGGACCTTCGTGCCTTTAAATCTCCATCAGTTCTCTAAAGCATGATCATTGCAACAACCATAATCATCACTACAATCTTCATCATCAAAGGAGAAATGGAATCTGCTAAAAACTGCTCAGAGTTTTGAAGGGCCCTGGAAAGTTGACTAACCTTGGAAAAACGCAATGCTTGGAGAGGGGTAGATCAGCGATGGCGAACCTTTTTCATCTCATGTGCCAAAAGGACGCGCATGGCCACCCCCATAATTTAATGCCCCCCTGGTGCAATGCCCCCTGTGCATGCGTGCGTGACCCCCCCTCCCGCTGCTCTGTGCATGCATGCATGGCTTTCTAGGAGCCTGGGGAGGATGAAAACAGCCTCCCCTGCCCCCCGGAGGCCCTCTGGAGGTCAGGAACGGCCCATTGTCTGACTTTCGGTGGGTCCAGTAGATCTGTTTTTCACCCTCCCCAGGCTCCAGAGGCTTTCTAGGATCCTGGGGATGGAAGCCTCTGGAGGGCGAAAAACAGATGAAAATCAAGTCCAACAATCAGCTGGCATGCACGCTGGAGCTGACAGGGCAACGGCTTGCGTGCCATAGTTCTCCACCATCACGGGGGTAGATCATGGCACAACCAGTGATGAAATGTTACTGGGGCTTCCCCAATATCCCTTACATGTGAACTGCGACAACTCCTAACGCCCAGCAGGGGGCAGGATCGTAGAGGACGGGTGATACTCAGCTGGAGAAGAAGGGTTTTAAATGGTAGAACTTGCCTTCTACCATATTTGAAGACCTCTGATGATTAAGAAAGGGAAGAAAGGTCAGGGAAGCAGTCCCCTCTGCCCACCCCCGCCTCTATCCTGATTCTAGGAAACGATCCATTCCAAAGGGATACCCACGGCAGTATTGCTTGGAATTTCATCTTATAACTACCCATAGGGATTTGGAAAAAAAGGAGTGGATGGATCAGATGTTGAGAGGATGATAACACCATAACAGACTTTGTTGGATGTGTTACAACAAAAGTGGTCCTTGGTTACAAGTGACCATGAATCATAGGTCTTTGTGAAAGTCTTCTCCTCTCATTTGGGTGCTTTGAGGTTCTGAAGAACCTGATAGAACATTGGGAGCTATCGTGGACCAAATTCCATCTCTGATTCTTTAACTTGGGACCATCTCATGGGTTTTTCCATTGCCTTACCTCATCCGTGTCTGTCCCGCTATCTACCCTGTATAGCAATAGCAATAGCACTTAGACTTATATGCCACTTCACAGTGCTTTATAGCCCTCTTTATCAGATGACAGAGTTAGCATCTTGCCCCCGCAACCATCTGGGTCTTCATTTTACCCACCTCGGAAGGATGGAAGGCTGAGTCAACCTTGAGCCTGGTGAGATTCGAACTGCTGGCAGAGTTAGCCTGCAATATTGCATTCTAACTACTGCGCACCATTGAAGGAAAGAAGGAGGGAAGGAAGGAAGGAGGGAAGGAAAGAAGGAAAGAAGGAAGGAAGGAAAAGAGCAAGAGCAATAGCACTTAGACTTATATACCACTTCACAATGCTTTACAGCCCTCTCTAAACAGCTTACAGAGTTAGATATATTGTCCCCAACATTCTGGGTCCTCATTTTACCGACCTCAGAAGGATGGAAGGCTGAGTCAACCTGGTGCCTGGTGAGATTCGAAGAAAGGAAGGAGGGAGGGAGGGAAGGAAGGAAGGAGCGAGGGAGGGAGGAAAGGAAGGAAGGAAGGAAGGAGGGATGGAAGGAAGGAAGGAAGGAAGGAGAAAAGGAAGAGCAATACCACTTAGACTTATATACCGCTTCACAGTGCTTTATAGCCCTCTCTAAGCGGTTTACAGATTCAACCTCTTGCCCCCAACATTCTGGGTCCTCATTTTACCGACCTCAGAAGGATGGAAGGCTGAGTCAACCTGGTGCCTGGTGAGATTCGAAGAAAGGAAGGAGGGAGGGAGGGAAGGAAGGAAGGAGCGAGGGAGGGAGGAAAGGAAGGAAGGAAGGAAGGAGGGATGGAAGGAAGGAAGGAAGGAAGGAGAAAAGGAAGAGCAATACCACTTAGACTTATATACCGCTTCACAGTGCTTTATAGCCCTCTCTAAGCGGTTTACAGATTCAACCTCTTGCCCCCAACATTCTGGGTCCTCATTTTACCCACCTCAGAAGGATGGAAGGCTCAGTCAACCTTGAGCCCGGTGGGATTCAAAATGTCAAATTGCAGGCAGCCGACAGGCAGCAGAAGTAGCCTGCAGTACTGCATTCTAACCACTGTACCACTGTGGCTCAGTGTCCCTTCATCTCTTTGAATGGTGTCCCTTGTGGGGTCTGCTCTGTCAGTTGGGGACAACTCCGAGCTGTCCAAAGGTTTCTATTCCCTGGTGAACCTAATTCCCTGTAGTGTCTTATTTCGGGCCCCCAAAATTTGTCACCTGCAAAAGGAATCAGAGGATTTGGAGCCCACCTTACCTATCCAGCACCAGCTCTTCTAACTTGTGGAGGTCACAAGCGATGTACTCCAGAGCCATATCGGTGATCCGAGGGCACCATGAGAGGTCCAGGCTCCGAAGCTTGCGGAGGTTCTCTGCCACCAACTCCACGCCGTCGTCCGTCACTTTCGAGCAGCCGGAGAGGCTGAGCACGCTCAGGTTGGGGAGGCTGTGCACCATGTTCACCACGCCGTGGTTCGTGATTTCCCAGCAGGAGTTCAGGCGGAGGGTGTGGGTGGTGTAACCTTGCTTGGCAGTGAAGTAAGCCAGGGCTGTGTCCGTCACGTGATAGGCCTGAAGGTTGAGCTCAGTCAAGTTGGGCAGCAGCTGTGAGATGGCCGCAATGGCATCGTCAGCCACGTTAATGCAGTCGCTGACACTCAGGGAGCAGATGCGGGCATTCAGACTCGACCAGAGACCGGCCTCAGTGAAATCGTTGCATCCAGAAAGCTCCAAGTGCATAAGACCTTGCATCTGTTCCAGCATGACCTGAAAGTTGCATTAACAGAGGGATACAATCAAGATCAGAGGTGGGTTCCTACCAGTTCGCACCTATTCGGTAGAACCGCTTCATCAAATCTACCGAACCGGTTAGAAGAAGTTCCACCAGTGGACCTGGAAAGCAGGCCACACCTACAGAAGAGGTTCCAGAAAGTTTTGAAACCCACCACTGATCAAGATCAAGGAGAGATTCA